AAAGGTTTGGTGTTCAGAGATCGGGTAGATCACTCTTCTTTTTCACAAGAAATATATCGACCAGTTTATCACGCTAAAGATAGTGTAGCATAAAGGACTGTAGGTCGTGGTCTGTATTAATGGTACTGCTCCACAGGACTTAGAGGTCTGTACATTCACTATTGTTCATCCTTATTCACACTCTACTTCCATCAACGCCATTTTCCTAAATAAAAAGATGAGACTGGATGTTATTCCAGATTTTTTCAAAACAAATATACGCTTGCTATCTAGCTGCAGGGTGAAGTACTGCTCATGTGTGTAAAAAAAACATTACTTTACACGTTGTTGGTCCACTGAATGCGCCCTTGGCACCAGCGCAAACGAGTTGTTATGTGCTTTGCTATGAGTAGGATGCGTCTCATCATCAGGCATCTGGCAGTCTGTTTTAACTATACATTGCCACGCTGTAGCAGCCAACATACGATCCAGTCTTGGAGCAGATACCTTAATATTTAGGCGAATCAGAATCAACAGATAGTGGTCGTCTGCTTGAGTTATGGATGACATTGACATGTTGGTCTGTTTTGTTCAGGTGTCCAAGCAAGTGTGAAGACAGATAGTCATTCTGAAACACTTGTAGTCAGTTTGTAACAGCTGGGCATGGCATGGTCAGGTGGTTAAAAGTAGGGACGGTTAGCGCAGATAACTCTTATGTAGCTTTGCGCGAAATCCGTAACAAACAAACAAATAATAGTTTACTTTCTGAACTTTAATACGAATATTTCTTGTCAGTTGATTTGCATAAACTATTTACAGATTTCTGCTATAAATGAACTTAAAATATGATAAGTAATCACACACACACATAAAATTGTTAAGTTTGTATAAAAAATGGAGGATGGCGATTACAGAAATGTGTGCACTTGTCTAAACATATTCTAATGACCATGGACCAAAACAAATCGCAACAGCTTCCTCTGATTGGCTAGCTTGAGGTCTAGCCGTCATGGTTTATGAAAAATTTGGAACACTTGAAACCCTGTAAATCACTTCAAAGAACTAAACTTTCTTGTTATTTGCACTATTTAATCTTTCTGATTACCGACTTTCTTTCTTTGGTGGAGTAGATGTTCAGAATTGACAGGCTAGAGAATGAGTTTTTATGACTAGTAACCAGTGTTTTTAATTGCAATATTGAAGATATTGTTTTATTCTTATGTGTGACTCATATGTTATTAGGGACCCTTCCAGGATATCCAGAAGAAATTTGGTGCATCAATAGTTTATATATATACATATATTTTTTAAATCCAATGGAGAGATTTGGACCCCAACGATAATTTTATGGTCATAGTCCTGTTTTGATCACCAGTTATAATAAAAGTTTAGACCTTCATAAACCTGGTGCTCCTGTATATATTGTGATATTGTAAAAGTTTATTCAAGTATAAAAGATAAATCACAAAGAACTTTATAAATACAAATAACCATTAAAGCATATAATGCATCAATATTAAAGGTTCAAAGAGTAAAATCTATTATAAATATGTGCGTAATAGACAATACGTTATTTTTAGTTAAGAAAAGTAAATAATGAAATGTAATAATATGAATAATACCGCATAGAATAATAAAAAATTAACTCTGAGCTATTTTGGTTCAATTGTAATTTAATAATTTCGATTTTTTGTGCACAAACAACTTTAATTTATTACCAAATGCCTACTGAAAAATTCTCCAGCTTTACATCTGTTTCTGGAGAGAGTTGAATATTATAAAAAATATACAACTAACAAATGTTACCATGTATTGTTTGTTTGTTTTGTTTCCTGTTAAGCACAAAGTTACACAATGGACTATCTGTGCTGTACCCACCACAGGTATCTAAATTCAGTTTTTAGCGTTATAAGCGGGCATACTTACCGCCTATCTACTTGAGGGCATAACCATGTATATACAATGACAAAATAAAAACATTGTATTTTGATTTTTAGTTTAGACAGCATTGAAAAACTCCACTAGGAAAAATGTGCCATTAAACCGTAAACAACGTGGCTCTTTAAATACTCTTCTAATTATTTTAAGACTTAAAAAACAGGTTTCAACATTGAAAAATATTTCATCATTAAAAATTATTTGATATTGGTGGGTGGATGAGTATCATTGTTTAATAAAGCAAGTAAAACAAAACATTGCCAGAATTAAAAAGTATTTTTTTCTTTTTTCTGTCTTTCTTTCATAAATGTAGTTAATAGAACATATATTTCATTCTTTTTCAATCCACACCAGGTCTTGTATTTCAATATTTTTATGTTCTATACAAAAAATAAAAAAGGGGCAGGTGAGTGTTGGAATTTTGGAACAATATTCGGTAGTTGTTAATGATGTCAATTGTGAATGGTCCTTGAAAATGATCTTAACGTTATCTTGCTTATTGCAGTGAAATGATTTTACTAACTAAAACAACAACAAATTTATTGAATTCAAAAGTCAAGGGATCAAACAGCAATAACAAACATTATTCAACACTTTATAAAAACTTCTAAGCTGAGCTTGCCTGAGCTTACCGCTACATCAAGCGCGAGCTCTGCCGAATTTTCTAAACGGAAGAGCAAGAAGAAGAAGGACCAACCGGGCAGCGAGAAGTTTTCAATTCTTCCTAAACTTCCGACTAAAGCCTGTGAAAATCTGTTGAGTACTATTAAGTCTCAATTGCCTCTTGCAGAAAACACTGACGGGGACTTCAGGCTTCCCAAAGAGTAGGAGAGACGGAAGAATCGCCGTGAATGACAAAGAAAAGTCGTAATTGGTACGGGTGAGGATTTTTGTACTCTCACTGCACAACCAGATCCCGACAGGGATTTATTCGTCACTGATGTTTCTAACGAAGCGAAAGTTGAGGAAATATGTGCTTTTGTAGAATATAATGATTGTTACGTAATAGATTTACAGAAAGTTTCACCAGACGACTGGCGTTATCAAGCTTTTTGTCTCACTGTTTCCAAAAAGGATTTCGATACACTGAATCAACCAATTTGGCCTGGGCGTATACAAGTCAGACGATACTACCCGCCTGTCAAACCAAAGCGTGACAAAGACTCTGTAACTGCTAGTGGTTTGTCATGTCCCGTCTGATTGTGTTATTGTTAATAATGTCTCTCACTTTTGCCTCATATAACTGTAATGGCCTTGGGACCGGAAAGACTGACTATATTCGTGAGCTGACTCGTAACCACGACTTCGTCTTTCTTCCAGAACACTGGCAGTTAGCTAGTCGACTGTCAGTATTTACGGAAAGCATCACTGGGATTACCTCGCATGGTATATCACCCATCGATGACTCTCGTTTGCTCGTAGGGAGGCCACATCGCGGATGTGCCATCTTGTGGCGATCTTCTCTGCGACTTGTCATTACACCAATTGAGTGTTTGTGGAGTAACAGTGTTGTTACCCTCGGGTGAACTGTTATTTGTCGCACTGAATGTTTATATGCCTACCGATTCCGCTGGTAACCTGGATGAATATATTTCTGCATTACGAGATATCTCCTGTATATGCCATATAAATGGATATGACAGGATTGTCCTAGGTGGTGACTTTAACACGGGCTTCAGCCGACGTAACTCACCTCACACGTTAGCGTTGGAAAGGTTCCTACAGGACGAGGAGTTATGTCTGACCAGATCATACACTGGTGAACATGCATCTGATTACACGTTTGAGAATGTGTTTGGTGATAGGTCAAATATTGATAAATTCTTTGTCACTAATAACATGTTGGACTGTCAGCCTAAAGGTGTAATATGTCATGACGTGGATAATTTTTCGGATCATAGTGTCATTTCCCTTTCTGTGGTTGACTCATCCTCAATAGAACGACTTGTACCTGCACACGTCACTACACCGCATCTGAGATTACAATGGGATGAGGCTAAGCCTGAGTCAATTGAAGCCTATTATAGCGGACTGAGGAAACGTTTAGATAATGTCCAGATACCTAGCGAGGTAATTCATTGTAATCAGGTTAACTGTTAACTGTTAGCCTGTATAGACTCTAGTTTGAAATTTATACCACGTGCTCGCAGTAACAAACCTTCTATGGCTGGCTGGAACCCGTGCGCGAAAATGCGCTCTTCTGGCATTTCATCTGGAACGAAATGGGAAGACCAAGAGTTGGGCTAATTGCTCAGATGCGGAGGAGTACTCGTGCAGAGTATCGTCGTGCGGTAAAACGTGTCAAATCCATAGCAGATCAGCTATCGTCTCAGAAGATGGCTGATGCACTCGTGAACTGTCAGAACCGCGATTTGTGGAAGGAGGTGAAGAAGTACAACAAAACTTCTAAACCTGTTCATTCTACCTTTGATGGCGCTACAGGCGAAAGAGAAATCGCCAATGTATTTGCTCGTAAGTATGAGCGTCTGTATAACTGTGTCTCATACGAAGAGGAGGATATGGCCACCTTGGTACGGGAACTGGATGAGCAAATTCGTCATCACTGCTGAAGTGACCAGTGTTATCACGGCCACTGCGTTACGACTGACCTAACTGATAACGTCGTGTCCCGCCTTAACGCCGGTAAGAGAGACGGTGACGGATTATCTTCTACCGACCATATCAAACATGGAGGACTGGTATTACGTACACATCTAGCCATTTTGTTTACGTCATAGTTACGTCCCTGGTGATATGTTGGTATCGACCATCATACCTATTCCAAAAAAGTACAAGGAAAATTGCTTAGCGACTCGGGTAATGATAGGACCATTGCCTTAAGAATGCTGAGCCACTGGTTGCAACCAATCTGCAATTTGGTTTTAAGCAGAAACCTTCGACTACGCAGTGTACTTTTGCTGTACAAGAAGTAATTCAGTATAACTTAATTAATGACACGTCCGTGTTTTGCATGTTTTTGGATGCGAGTCAGGCTTTTGACCATTTCCAGTATATTAAACTGTTTAATTAAACGATTACTTGAGAAAGGTTTATTTCCTTTAACATGTAGAGTACTGTTACTTATGCACACAGAACAGGCAGTGTGGCTTCTCTGGGGAGAGATTCTCTCAAGTTCGATATCTGTGTCCAAAGGTGTCAAGCTAGGCGGAATTCTATCGCCTCTGCTTTCTTCGATCTATGCTGATATGTTACTTACTGAGCTACGTAACTGTGGTCAGGGTTGCTACATTGGCAGAACAGTTGCAGGAGTGTTCGCTTACGCCGATGACATTATCCTTTTAGCTCCATCGAGAACTGGGTTATTGAACATGTTGGAAATTGCCGAACAAATAGGCAAGGACCTTAACATTAAGTTCAATCCAGCGAAATGCCAGTTTCTGAAATTCATGTATCCTACTTCAGTTAGTAATGATAATGTAGAACAGCTTATATTGTTCTGTGACATGATGGTTCCATTAAGTGAATCGGCTGTACACCTTGGTCGTTACATTGGCATTAATTACCGAGTAAATTCCATTCAGAAAAGCGTGAATGAATTGTACCAGAGATGTAATTCGTTACTATCTAACTGCTGAAATCCTGACAAACATTTATGATACTCTTCTTTGCTTCACTAAAAACCTGGTATCTCCAAAGGATTAGATGTATTCGTAATAAGCTTACATGTCACACATCAACACAGAGTACGAACAGTTCTTTTCTTCTTAAGTTTTTTGAGTAGTTGTCAAGTTGATTTTCAAACATTCTAAAGGCCATGATGGATATTGGTAGGTAGTTCTTATCCATGTCCGATGATGGATCTAGGAAATACGCCCAATGTTTCTTGCATTTGTTTGAGGATAAGCGCATGGATAAACAGGTGTCTATAATTAATATAACATACACTAGTTGTGGTTCTTTTATCTTTTTCTTGTATTGAATGTTTTAAAGCCTGTCTTATCCACATAAAGACTACAAGTATGTACTTGAAGATGATAACAAACTAATAATTATTAAATTAAAATTAGACAAAACCTGATTCAAGCATTTCGCCAACCAAACAACACAACGTACCAACAATGTAGTTTTAGTTTTTAGAAAGTATTAGAATACTTAGCAAAGATGTAATTATTTCAATGCGTAGAACTAAACCAGAAGATGTTTATACAGAAGATAAAAGGAAGAGAGAAAGGTCCCAGAATTATATCAAAATCTTAAAAAAGGGGGCTCAATGGGAATTCAACTCCGAACTTTTGACTGGTGTTTCATTTTAGTGTTGTTCAACCGCACGAAAACCAACCAAAACAAAACAACAATTAAAAAAAACCACAACATTGGGTATTTATGTAAGGAGTTAAGGTTTCTAATTATAAAGTTTGGTATAAGTTCAGGGAGATATTAAAGTTTCCAGTTATAAAGCTGTAGCATATGGGGCCATTCAAGTAACTGAAATGAAGAAAGAACAAACAGACAAAGGACAGGAAGTGACACAATATGTTCGGGAATAATGAAAGCTATTATAGGCCTTACGAAAGGTTTGGTGGAAAGGTATACTAAGTACACAACATTTCTGGCCTTGTCAACATAAATGTTATTTTTTTCCACTGTGGGTCAGCGATAAAATTCAAATTCTAAATTAACAGTGCAAAATAATCTTTGTAGTAAAAATATAATATTAAAAGATTAAAAAATAATAAAGCTAAAATTATTAAATATTTTAAGCAATATGTTAATGCTAGTAGCAATAAACAGAGAATAGAGTATACTTTTCTCACAGAATACATAAAAACTAATAACACAGGCTTGCTATGGTTTTATTGTCTTGAGATTTTTACATGTTCTACAGTAATTCCTGTACACTGAATCCAAAAATAATATCCATTTTTCTCCATCACGTACAGATTTTTCACAAAACGCCAAAACGCAATACATAAAAGAAAAACCACAACACGTAGTTTTGAGACTAAAAGACGTAGATTTCACACAAAAAATCAGGATGAATGTATATTCGTTTGACATCAATGTTCTTCCATTTTCTTCGGTTTTCTTTTATATTTTTATTAACAAAAGTAATAATAAAAAAAATGTTCATTGTGGTAAACGAAATAATAATTTGATCTAAGTAAGAGTTTTTTTTCTTTCCGATTTATAAAAAATCCTTACGGGATAGAAAAAAAAGAATATTATTTTCGAAATCTACGTCGCTGAATTACGGAAAATCCGTTATTAAAAGCAAAACAACTGTTATGAAATTTAAATTCGCAGGCCAGTGTTATTAATCTTGAATACTCTACAATAGAAAGCATTATGATCTCGATCATTGCGTGTGTTCAAGTATCACAACAGGTAGTTATGTATACACTAATTACTAGAGAACCCTAGTTTTATTTCGTAAAGAAATAAGTGACGAATTGAGAAGCTAATATCAGATTGGCAACAGAAATCATATATATTACAAAAGTATTACATAAAGTTAAAATAGAAACATATTACTATAACAAATGAATAGTAAATTAACATAAACTTGTTGAGAATTAAAAACAAAACTGAGCTTAATATTTAATTGTATAAATTAAATTAAACTTGGATATACACTGAGTGGTCACAAATAAATAGACACCTCATTTTTCGTCATTTAACTGATTTATGCTTACTAATTTGTGTTCACAGAGCATTATATAAATGAAAATGGTCCGCACACTAATTATCTTATGCTACAACATACCTAGAACTCAAGGTTCTCTCGAATTGTCAGATTTGTTAGAGGAAGGATAGTTGGTCAAGCAGGTGGTGGAATAAGTCAGCGGCAAATTTCGCAGAATTTGGGAATGTCGCTTTCGACAGTCAACAGAATCATCGTGCAGTTCAGGAAACACGGCAAGGAAACAACTGAGCAGCGTCCGGGTCGTCCTGGTCCATCGGAGTGGACAGAAAGGGCTGTCAAGAGGAGCAACGAAATGGATCCTAGATTAACGACTGCAGAAGTGGCCAAAGTTGGTGGGATGTGCTCAAAATCTGTTCAAAGGATTCTCCACAGATTGGTTATCGTTGCAGAGCCACTAGACGGAAGCCCTTATTAAGACCTGTCAACATAGTCAGACGAAAAAAGTGGGCAAGTGG